GAGAGAAAATAGGCAAAATATGTTAAAACGTTACAATCAAAGAATCTGGGTGAAGGGTATACAGGAACTCTTTATACTATATTTTCAACTTTCCTGTAAGTTTTAAACTACTTCAAAAAGTTTAAAAACAAAGGCGCTGGACCATATGTTTATAGTATCTAATAGCTTTATTTTTTTTTTTTTTAAGATTTTATTTATTCATTTTTTTCCCCCCAAAGTCCCAGCAGATAGTTGTATGTCATAGGTTCACATCCTTCTAGTTGCTGTATGTGGGACTCGGCCTCGCGCTGGACGGAGAAGTGGTGCCTTGGGGCGCGCCCGGGATCTGAGCCCGGGCCGCCAGCATCAGAGCGCGCGCACTTAACCGCTAAGCCACGGAGCCGGCCCTCTAATAGCTTTAAATGTTTGGTTTCTATTGTTGTAAAAGCTTATAAGCTGTGGCATGTAAAACAGGATGAAACAAATAGAGTTAATAATGAACTCCAGGACAAGAAAATACCTTTATTTCTGATGCTGCAGACCACTTCAGAATCTCCATCATATCAGCTGTTCTTCACCTGAGAAATGCTGGGCCAAGCTGAGTCCTCTACTTCAGGGAACACAAACACCATCCTCTGAGCACCAGGCTAGCAGCCCCTGACCCTGCACCACCCACACTTGGCAGCACTATATGTTGTTTCACCACAGAGGTCTTGTCTGACCGTAGGAGCTGATCAAGGAGCCTTCCAGGAGGGTATTTACACTAAGAAATCGAATAGAATGCATGCTTATGGCAGGCATTTATTTAGGGCAGATGCCCTGTATAATGGCCAGGGAAAGTCCGTCAGGCATTTGGAAGGCCAGTTTGGTCAGCTTCCTTCTTTTCCCAGGTCTAAGTCATCTTGCAGATCCTCGCCATGGTGGATCTGGGGTGGTCAGTTCCTGATAGAAGTGATCCCAGCATGCAGGTTCCAGTTTGACTAGGTACCAAGACACTCCCTGCCCAAGGAGGCTGGTTTCATTTAAGATTGACCTATAGGACTAATTATGTTCTGGGGTGCAGCTCGCTTCAGAACTAAGTGAACTCCAGAGTCATGGTCTCATGTATCAACATGACCAGGGCCAATCCCAGATCGAGCCATTCTCCTAAAGGCTCCCTAGAGCAGAAAGCCCAGCTTGTCGCCGTGAGTTAAGTTGCCTTAAAGTTGTGCTGAGCCTTGTATCCTGGTTAAATAAAACTGGCCAATCAGATCCCTATAGCCGTGCAGAAGACTGCAATTCTAGAGTTCGGTCTGTGTGCAGAATTCCTTCACTTTTTCACATCCCTTTTATTTCAGAATATCATAATGATAGGCAGCAGAAACACAGTTAAACACCTAAATGCCTGGAGCTTAATGCTTTTTAGCTCAAAATTGACTATCCTGCCTAAAAGCCTTCCTAATAATGGAATTCCTATGACAATATCAAGAATTCCACTCTTCTTTTAAGATTCTGTCTACCAATCCCTCTGAATGCCCTGCATAATTCCAGGGACGGGGGGGGGGGGGGCTTGAGGGGGCTACGCACTCTAGAATAAAATAACTTCTCAGCCCAGGGGATAGAAAGCCATCAGCAGCTTCACTGGAAACAGATTATCATGTTAACCACAGACAATGGAGGCCATATAACTAGCATTCTAGGAGAAATAAAGGAGACCCTGGCATCTGATATCAGATCTGCATGTCTTATGACCAGCCTTGCTAAAGACTGCAGTGCCACAGCAAGGCCAGCCAGATTTAGACAGCTGCTTCTTGACAGTTGTTCCCAGCAGGGCTGTTGGTGTTTCCAGTCAGAACAAGGGGAAGGGAAGCTCTGACTATTCATATGCAAGGATCCAGAGATCTTATGCCTAACTCACTTTATTGGAATCTTGGTCATGCATTTACTCCTTCACTGGGAATCAGGAGACGTGGGCTCTAGATTGGTGCTGCAGTGAACTGGCTGAGTGATCTCGGCCTCGTCACTTAATCTCTCTAGGCCTTGGTTTCCTCATTTGTTAAAGAAAAGAGATAATCTCTAAAATTCTGTGAGTTTTCCATGACTTAACTGAAAAAATACAGCAAATATCTCAAGTTTCCTTAGTTGCAAAACAAGGAAAGGGTTGTTGTACAGATTAAAAATACTCTACATGTATGGAAAGGAAAAAATAGTAACTTTATTTTGGAGAAACCTGGTAGACATCACCTTAGCCAAGTGGTCAAGGTTGGCATCACATGTAGTAAAACACATCAATATCCTGTACCCCCAGGTAAGATTTGATGAGAAGGGCACATCACCTCTGTGACATTCTTTCCCCCAAATCCAGAACCTCAGTCTAATCATGCGAAAAATATCAGACAAACTCAAGTTGAGGGACATTCTACAACATACCTGACAAGTACTCTTCAAAAGCGCCAAGGTCATGAGAGACAAAGACTCTGGCACCGTCAGAGATTGGAGGACACTAAGGAGACATGACAAATGCCATGCAGGATCCTAGATTGCATCCTGTAACAGAAGAAAAAATAAAAACCATTAGTGGAAACAGTGAAGAGATCAAAATATGTCTTGTAGTTTAGTTAATAGTATTTTACCAACATTCATATCTTAGTTTTGATCATTGCTCCACAGTTATATAAGGTGCAAACCTTAGGGGAAGCTGGGTGAAGGGAATATGGGAGGGAACTCTGTACTATCTTTGCAACTCTTTTGTAAGTCTAAGATTGCTTTAAAAGTTTTTAAAACTATGTGAAATGGCTAGCTCACAGTAGGTACTTAATGAATGGTAGGTGTTACAGCAAATACATTGCTTCCAACAGTGTTGAATCAAAGAAATATTTATCAGTGGAAAAGACAGTGATACAGAGCCGTTAATTGGCCTTGTTGGTGCAACAGAAACCATTCCAGCCACAGATGTTGCATAACCTTGACTGAAATACTTGTTAAAAACTAGTTCTTTATCCTTGAAGAGATTTCTGGGAATTGAAATGTGCAGCTGTTTATATGCTCATTATCTGCCCTTTGTTCATGGGCTCAGATTGGATTTCTCTCTGGTGGCATGAATTCTACAGCTGTGAGGTTCTGCAGCTGAATAAACCTTGAGTTTGGACCTGCTAATCTGAGAGGGAGTTTTATCCACAACAATTGGTAGAGCAAAATGCATAGCACCTTACACTCTGTGTGTTTGATATTCCCATCCTGCTATGACAAGAGGCTCATCTCTATCGCTATCACACACTCATCTTAGTTACCAACAGATGGAGCTGGCTTAGACAGCCAAGGAAAGAAAGGTCAGCACATGTGTGGCCCAGAGACAGCTCCTCCCCCAGGGGCAAATCAGCTAAGCAACTTTGGTTGCACTGGCAAAGCAATAAGAAGTGTAAGAAACATCTCCTCACATAGAGAAATTTCATTCAACAGATATACAATATGTATGTATTAAAAGCCTTCCATATGCTTAACCCTGAGGGTAGAATGGGGACCCAGTTCCTACCTTCACAGAACTTACAGTCTTGTGGGCAAACAGGAAGCTTAATAAGCAGAAACAATAAAATGTGGGTCAGTGCTGTGAATTTCAAGGTGGTATAGAGCACGGCACTGGGATCAAAGGTAGGATGGTGGGGGAAGGGAACCCCCCCCTTCGCTTTCCATGCCATTGATGAGTTTGAGGATGGAAGTTAGTCTTTTTAGAGGCTCTTTTAAAGTGCAGGGCCGTAGGCGTGCCTCTGATTGGAGACGCCATGACCACATGATCCTGGGCAGATTACATCTATCCCGGTGCTGTACACGTGGAAGATGTTCATTAATGCTCATAGAGTGAATGCTGATTTGCACCAATCAGTGACTGTCATTCAGCTTGATCTAACCCCAAAGTAATATCAAAATTCGGGTCATCTCTAACAACAACAACATTTATCAAGTGCTTAAGACAATCGTGGCACTATTTTAAGTGTTTTACATAAATTAATTTGTTTAATTTTTACAACTCAATAACAGAATGACTATCATTAAACCCATTTTCAGTGAGAAAGCTGAAACATAGGAAGAAAGGAAGAAGTAAATCACCTAAAGTTACACAGGCACAGCCAGTGAGCAGCAGGCCCAGACTTTTAGCCTAGGCAGTCAGCCTTCAGAGGCTGCCCTCTACTCTGCCTCTCCAAGGGTGGTAGTAAAGATCCTTGGGCATTTTCTTAGAGGGACATGAGAATAGGCTGCTGGTTCCTACAAGCTGCAACTCCAGACACAGGGCTCCTCAAAGCTGCAACCCCAGGGATCATGAGCCTGGTAGTACTCCCTGTTTCAGCCGTCACTCCCTACCTTCTCTCATAGCCTCTTGCTTTGGGCCCATGAAGCAGGGCTGCAGTCTGGGACAAGCCTCTGCTCTGCCACACTTGGAATGTGGCCATCTTCTTACAGCCTGGTTAGCAGCTACCGTGGGAAGAAAACAAGGTGGAGGCCAGACAGGAAATTTCCTTCCCCAGAAACACTTATGCTGTCATCTAAGAGCCCTGAAACCAACCTTTTTGGTAACGACCTGATGGCCAACCTGGTTCAGTATCCAATTCCAGCTTCTGACCCAGATGCCTGGATGCAGCACGCCTAAATAATCTGTACTCAGGTACATTTTTTGTAGCAGATTTGGTCCCAGTGTTTATTTTGGGGGTGGGGAGAGACAAGAGGTAGCTAGGTCAGGTGGGCAAAAGACAGGGATTTTCTCAGCTGAGGACTCTGTAGAATGGCATTTTCCATCCAGAGAGTTCTACTGAACAATGACATCAGAACATTCTAGAAGAGATGCCAAACCCAAATGAAAAATGTTCTGATGTCCTAGAGTTTTAGAAAGTAAAAATCATGTTCTCAAAAATGCCTAGGCTATTCTATTAGAATTCAGTATCTCATGTTCACTCTTGCTAGCTTTTTTCAATATTGTTTTCCATTAATTTGGTGGCCAACAGTTTGATAGTCTGTATAACGGCCTATTTAATAGTTTGCTAATTTTCAGTGTTCAGCTTACTCAAATGTTCCCCTTTCATTTCCTGACAATACTAGCACTTCATGGCAACCCAGAAATGTCCCTAGCCAGGTCCTTCTCTCTCCACCATGCAGTCTAGCTGCACGCTAGCCTCTCCCTTGCTCTCATACTCATGATCTTCCTTCATGTCTATTTTTAGTTTTCCTGGCTCAAGCTTCTTCAGGCCACTGAAACACAATCCTCACTCTCTTTCTCTCCCTCTGATAGGAGGCCCCCAGGTAAAAATTGCTGGAGAAATCTTTCAGAACTCCTTCCTCAGGAAAACCTACAGCTTTGGCATCACGGCTCAGTTTTTAAGATGGACATAAGCTGGACGACCTTCTGATGGGCTTTAAACTTTGAATTGGATGTGGACATTTTTCTCTCAGATGACAGAACCACTCCAACTTCCCCTTTGCAGTTGCTTCCTTTCATTGAAGGTAGCTGTCTCTTGTTTTCTTTAAAAACATTTTCCTTCCAAATTTGTCTACCATGCCAACTGTCATTAGCGCATCTGTGGCCTCGCGGACAGGGGCTGAGCCCATGTCCCCAGGGCCGGTTGCCCAACCAGCCCAGGGCAAGACCACCGAGTCAGGGGGCGGAAATCCAAGTGGCATCTATTCAGCCATCATCAGCCGCAATTTTCCTATCATCGGAGTGAAAGAGAAGACATTTGAGAAGCTTCGCAAGAAATGTCTAGAAAAGAACGTTCTTTATGTGGATCCTGAGTTCCCGCCGGATGAGACTTCTCTCTTTTATAGCCAGAAGTTCCCCATCCAGTTCGTCTGGAAGAGACCCCCGGTGAGTAGCTAACTGTTCGCTGGTTGGGTTTTTTCCCTCGGAGAAGTCCTCCCACTGAGCAAGTCCCTGCAGCTCCACTGTGCACATGGGCTCTGGGGGGCTGTGCCCAGGCTCTGGGGGGTCCTGCAGCAGCTCCAGCAGGCTCTGTCCTCAGGCGAGGCAGGGTTGATTCTCACTCTCTTGCTCTCTCTCTTTCTGAAAAAAATCTTACTTTTTATAAAAGTAATTACAACTCAATTTAATTTACCCTATAAAGGTAAATATTCCTTTCCCAGAAGAAATTCCAAACAGTCCAGATCTATCCTCTCTATTTAAATATCTCGCATCTTTATAAGATTCTTTCAATTTCTTGGGCTAAAGTCATGATATTGTTCTTTAGTTGCCAGTAGCCCTGTCTTTCTGAAACGCAGAAGCCCTGGAAAAAGGAGAGTGGCAGGCAAAGACTGCTTTTACGTGCATAAAATGTCAGGATTAGCAGGAGAGACACTAGCCATGGTTTTTGTCCATATATTTCCCCTCACGGATGAGGAAATAAAGGCACACCAGAGTGAAATGTATCCAGTGAGCACATGACAGCCCAAATAAAACCCCTTCTCTTTTAGGTAACTCTCCAGCCTCTGGGTTTCACTTACAGTAATCTACCAGAGGGAAAGTCACAGTCTCCTGGCTCCTTTCTCTGATCATACCTCCAGTATGACTCTTGTGTTTTTTGTTTTTTGGGCTTTTTTTTCCACTACTGTTCTTATTTCAAGAAATGTTTATTGAGCATCTACTAGTGCCAGACACCAGGCAAACAACTGGGGAGACAGCAGTGAATAAGAAAAACAAAAATTCCTGCTCTCCTGGAGCCTCAAGTCCTGAGGGGAAGGCAAGCATTGAACACGAGTGATGCTGTCAGGAGACAACGTTCAGGGTGCTCTGGGATCAGGAGGCAAGGAGAGCTACCCTAGTCCAGAGAGAGAGAGACCCTCCCTGGGGAAATCATTTAAGCTGAGGCCCAATGCTACTCATTAGCCATGTTTATCTTTTTAACCTGAGGTCCCGAGGGTCCTCAGTTTAGAAGAGAGGACTGGAAAGAACTTCATTCTCCAACCCAGTCACTGCCCTGCTGCCAGAATACTGGGACATGTCATACCCTTGGTGAAATATCTTCAGTGACACTGTTCTCCCCTCCCCCCATGCCTTCAGAATAAGTCCAAACTCCTTAGCGGAGATATAGGCCCTTCTCCAGCTGGCCCCTGCCTACCTGTCCATCCTATCTTGACCCTCTCCCCCTGGACCCTGACACATTCAGTTGCTCTGTTGTTCCAAGTCTTCTCGTACCTCAAGGCCTTTGCTCATGTTGTCCATCTATCTGGAATGCCCTTCTTATTTTTATCTGATTTGCTCCTCTTCACCCTCGCTCCAAAACTCAGCTCAGGTGTCACTTCCTTCAAGTTTTCTCATGTCTGTTCCCCTCCTGCTGAGAGCAGGGCCCATTCCTGATCCTCTTCAGACCCCTTTTACCCAGCAAGGGGCCAGGCCCACAGTGAGTACTCAGCTGCTAGTGGTGAAGGAAGACCCACTTCTGAGGGCGTTGACACAAAGAGATAAGGACAGCCCTGCATTCCAATATTGGGAGTTCCTAAAAGCCTTTCTAACACTACTATAGAGAAAGAAACCAGAAAACTTACAAATACTGTTTTTAGTAAAATCATTGGTAGATTTTATTATTAAAAAGCTAGATTTGCAAATTAATAAAAACATTTTAAGGGTCTATTATGGTCTAAGCACTAGATCAGTCCTAAAACTTATTCTGTCAGTATCAGTGTGAGATGAGGGGCCCCAGAAGACCTGTCTGTTCCCACCACCACCACCACCCAAAATTCTGAATTTTCTACTGTCACTAAGAATCCAGATAGCAAAGCCCACCCTTGGTTAAAATGCCCATATGTTCCCCTAGGGATACGATTAGGTGAACACTGCCTATTGGGTCCACTAGCATAAATTAGAATATAGAATTAGAGATAGTCAGAATTGGAATAAATCTTCAAGATGTGGTCCAGCCCCTTCATGTACAGGTGAAGTGATTAAGGTCCAAGAAGGGCAAATGACCTGTCTACAGTCACACAACAAGTTGTCTGAAATTGAAAAACTGAAATGATTCCAGAACTTTCTGAAATGTAAAGCACTTCTTGGAGACATAAGTTTTCCATGCACTTCCATAGATGTAGTAACCTTTGCCAGGCTTGAGCCGTCTGAAAACCAATCTGAATTTCTCTTCAACAATCAAATATTGCTTATTATAATCAAATGATGATGATAATGAAGGGGGAATTATTCATGGCCAACTAGAATTCTAGTTAAGATAACATGCTGCACTTTCAGCCTTTCCCTCTTAACAGAAGAGAGACCCAGGCCACCTGTCCCCAACACACCTGCAAGCTCTTCTCACTTGATTACCAGTGCCACCTCACTGCCTTTCCTCCTCTTTTAGGGAGCATCATGCATTGAGTTTCCAGGCCAAACAATCTGATTCCTCTAGCCCTTCCTTATATGATCTATTTCTAGCATCAGAAAGCAAAAAACCCATACCATACTTCCCAACTGTTAAGCCAAATGTTCTTGATGACAGACCCTTGGGCAGAAAAGAATGGCTTCTAGAACAGGGCTTCTGGGAGGCTGATGACTCTTGCCCAATATTACTGGGGACAGGTGTGGGGGAAACATGTGTTTCATTCCATGTGGTAGGGGCTCCAGTCGCACAACACTACAGGCGTCTCGCCTCCTCTCGGTGAATTTGTAAAGCGAACCTGACCTGTGAAGCCCAGCCCTTTTCTTCCTTCTTCCTCTTAGGAGCTACCTGCTCCCCCTTTGCAGCAATTACAGAGGGAGGTCCCCGTGGGAGTCCAGCAGAGGTCCTGGGCCACCTGCCACTACTACATGGTTAATAGTAATGACAACAGCTACTCTTGATTGAGAACTCACCACATGACAGTAACTATTCTAAGTGCTTCCATATGGTAACTCATTTAATCATCACAACAACACTGTGAAGTAAGTACCATTATTGTCCCCACTTCACAAATGAGGAAACTGAGTCTCAGAGGGATAAATAATAACTGGCTCCAGATCTCCTAGTTAGTAAAGGATGGGGCTGGGATTTGAACCCAGCTAATCTGGCTCTAGAGCCCGAGCTCTCAATGACAAACTCTATCTAATTCTGGGATTTAGAAGCCAATATCAGCTTCAACAATAAACGTGGCATTTTGGACTCCCCTACACTTTTGTCTTATTCCACCACTGGTTCAAAAACTCAGGCATGGAAATGAGGTGTCATTTATTGGGCCTCCACAAGCCACAACAGGCATCAAGTGACACCTTGGGGTTTGGCCCCTGGAAGCAGCAGCCTCTGTGAGCTAGGGACAGAATGACACAGTGGCTAAGAGCCCGGTATCACCCACATTCAAGTCCTGCCCTGCTACTTAACACTTGGGTAATCTTGTCATGTAGTTATCCTCTCTGTGCCACAAGTTCTTCATCTGAAAACGGGGAATAATCATAAGAAAGAACCCATCTCATAATGTTGTTGTGAAGATTGAGTTAATGCACACTGAAGGTTTAAAGGGAGCCTGGCACCTGGGTGAGTGCCCAATGGACTACTCTGCCTACATGGACTACTCTAACCACCACCTACATCCAGCTGTGCCATCTCTTCAAAGAGGCAATATCGTAAACATCTTTCCAGCTTCATGTGTGTCTAGGACCAATCAAGATACTAACCACAGCAATGTATTCAAATACTTCGTGTCTCATCTAAATGAATCAGACCAACGGAATATGAAGATATATGTGTGAATAGTTCCCGCAGGGGAAGGTGACTGACTGACTGCTTGTCCTTAGGGCAATTCCAGTCATCCACAACTAACATAAAATGTGTGTTAGGGTATGACAATGTGAGTGTGAAGGTGACCACATAAAGGGTATCACACTGCGCTGGGGAACTTGGCAACTCGCTCAATGATTGGCTAGAGAGACCACAGAGGGCAGGAGGGTGACAAACGCTTCCATTTTCCATCTGCATTTGCCTCGGGCACACCAGGGTGTTTCTCTATACTCTCCTGCAGTCACTTAAAATCAGAGGCAACCTAGATCTCTTTTCTTTTTGGAGGGGTGAGAAATGAGGGGCCAGCTGCAAAGCCTTGTGCCTCTGGTACCCTCCTTACCCTTGGTAACACCAGATCCCCAAATCACTCCACAGTGACCCAGAGGCCCACGAGGGAATTCTCCCTTGGGAGGCAGCCTCTCCCTTCTTGGTGCCTCTGCCACTCCCAGTTCGGGGTCCCTCCATGGGCGAGTTGACTCACACCCTCTTCTGTTGTAGGAAGCATGGGTTGTGCATAGAGGATTATACATGGTGCTGACCCACAGAGCCAGCTCAGCACACTATGGCCTCCAACAGCAGAGACTGGCCACATGTTCCCGAGCCTCCCCTGTCTCTGGTCCAAGTGGAGTCACCTTTCTGTAAATTCCATCTCATTCCAGCCCCACCCTAACCTGCACCCTGGAGAAGGAGGAGTCCAACCTATTTGGGAGCCAGGTTAAACAAGACTTCAAGTTAAACTTCACTCCACAGATATGGCCTCAGTGTCACGTGGCTCTGCAGGAGAGGTTATTTCCTATTTGGGCCTCTGATTCACAGCTCTGAGTTGAAGTCAAAACTGCATCATTGATAAACAGCCACCTCCAACTTATCGCCCCAGCTCTTTCTCTAGGAAATCGGTTCTCCCTTCCACCTGTGCACTCCAAGCTCCTGGTGCTGATAGCTGCGACTCTGCATTTTCCCTTCGCAACTTTATGCGCAGCTCTCTGTTTCCACTGGCTGTTGGGGGCTGGGGGAATTTACCACCTTCCCCTTATCTCCAGATCCAGTGCTTTATAGTTTGCTGGCAGTGGCTGGACCTCTGGCCATAGGCCGCCTAACCTACCTCTTCCCCTCAAACCCTGTCTCCATTCCTCCA